CCCTCTGAAACTGAGTGAAAACACACTTTCCCTTAAATTGTATATGTTAGATATTTTGTGGCAGTGACAGAAAAATATAGCTAATATGCTATATTTCATCAAAGCCTAAATATTAAGTTCAAGAGCCTCTTTACTTTCCATCTTTGATTTAAATGTAGTAAAGAAAAATAGATTATTGCAAAGGTTTATACCCTAAAAATTACCTGACTGTACATTGATCCAAGCCTTTTCTGGTCTCTATATTTGTTCCATAGGTTTAGTAAGTGGGAGTAGAATAATCTGTCTCAATACGATTTCTATGTGCTGCCTACTGCTTTGATGTTGTTATTTAACGTGTGACACTGAAGTGATTAGAGATCCAATAAGAGAACAAGTTGTATTAGCAGAGTATTTAACCTTCTATACAGTTGTAATTACAGATGTGCACAACAGTCATCAGACACCCTGAAGGTGATCATTTTTTTTTCAGAAAATTGATTCACACATGTACTATGCGACATCAGTAAAATAGCACACTTTGCTAATGTTATAGTTTTACTAAAATTAAATACATCATAAATGCATTTCACATAATATCCTGTCCCTCAAAAATGAAATCATAAAACTAACTTATATTCCAAATATAACCTTGGATCATCCAGGAGAGGGGAGACACTGGGAAGCAGGTCTAGTATTCTCATTGTTCCACTTACAAAGCAGAAGATACCCTTCTTGACAGTCGTGTGCTAGTTGACATTGTTCATATTATCTCAGTTTCTCAACAGCTGGTCTTCCATAGCTGAGGAATCAGAGGGCAAGCAACTTACCACAGTCAACCACTTACCGATGACTAAACCCAGATTGACTTGCCCTTGTCCTTTTATCCTGCTGCCAAAAATGGGGCCTCCCATGAAGTCTGAGAATTTTGTGATTTTTTTAACGTGCTCTTATTGATGGATTATTTATCTGTATTAACAGCTGCTGTTAATATTATAGACATATATGTGACAACATTACTACCCAAAATGATGAAATGAATTATTTATATGAGATGCCATTTTCATCTAACAGATGAGTGGTGAGTATAGTTGATGAGGAAATGTCTCTCGTTCACTATTATGGAGATCATTAAGTGGAAAATGTTTGGAAGATAACTTATCAGTATCCTTCTACCTTCAAATGGCTGCACCCTCTTCATCAGCTACCCCAATCCATCAAGCAAAATATGCCAAGACATATAATTATGTATGTATGGATGGATGGATGAATTACACATGTGATACTAACTACAACATTTTTGAGAGGAAAAACATCTCTAAGAATTGGCATTTACACCAGTAAGACTTCTTTAAAGTTGCCATTTTGGAGCTGAAGAGATTGCCCAGTGGTTAAGAGCACTGACTGCTCTTGCAGAGAATTCAGGTTTAGTCACCTACATGGTAGCTAACAACCATTCACAACTCCAGCTCCAGGAGATTCAATACCCCGTTCTGGCCTCTGGGGGAATTGTGCACATGTAGTCCACTTATATACATGCAGGCAAAACATTCATATGTAAAATAAATAAATAAATAAATAAATAAATAAAATGTTTACATTGTCATATACTGGTACACTGGAATATGATATGATATTCAAGATGGTCCTAAATGGAAACTCAGAATATATACCTGTGTTCAAAATGTCAGATTAAAAAAAAAGGGTAGACAGCATAGCTCAATGTGTGACAAGTCTACACACACATATTGTATCCCTTTTCTTAGAAAAAACTCTGGGATTGTGCATATGAAACTGATAGAGGGAGAGGAAGGAAGCATACATTTGGTTTGTACTTTGTATTATTCTGTGAGGAGAACCAATATCTTTGTAAAGATAGAACGTATTTTGGACTTAAATAATGTTAAAGATGTAATGATCTGAATTTCAAAAAGCTTTAGACCATGTAACAATTTGGATCATTTTTATTGCTTTTGAAACTCTATCTTACTTTGCCTTTTAAGAAACCCTTCCTATATCATGTCCTTTTTCCAAGCCATTATTAGATTCTTTCTTTTCAATAACTAGTTTATGTAGACAAAACTTTGGCAGTAAAATCTAACAGGCATGGAGAGTGGCAGAAACAGTTGCATTGGTCCTAGGATCATCATGTCATGAAAAGTGGCTGTGGTCATTCTTACTTTCAAATCATTGTGCTGACTCCCCATTGACTTTCCTTTATTCAACACATATTCAGTAGAATCCTCTGAG